TATATAACCGTTACAGAAAGTGTTTTTTACACATCTCATCTACTACAGGGCAGATTGGTATATATGATTTTAACAGAAAGTGTATTTTACACATCCCATCTACTACAGGGCAGATTGGTATATATGATTTTAACAGAAAGTGTTTTTTACACATCTCATCCACTACAGGGCATAGTCTGTATAACTGTATCAGAAAGTGTATTTTACACATCTCATCCACTATAGGGCATATTTGTATATATAACTGTTACAGAAAGTGTATTTTACACATCTCATCCACCAAGGGCAGATTGGTATATATAACTATTACAGAAAGTGTATTTTACACATCTCATCCACTACAGGGCATATTTGTATATATAACTGTTACAAAGAGTATATTTTACACATCTCATCCACTCCAGGGCAGATTGCTATATATAACTGTTACAGAAAGTGTATTTTACACATATCATCCCTTTTACACATCTCATCTACTTCAGGGCATATCTATATAACTGTTACAGAAAGTGTTTTTACACATCTCATCCCTACAGGGCAGATTGGTATATATAACTGTTACAGAGAGTATTTTTTACAAATCTCATCCACTACAGGGCAGATTGGTATATATAACTGTTACAGAAAGTGTATTTTACACATCTCATCCCTTTTACACATCTCATCCACTTCAGGGCATATCTATATAACTTACAGAAAATGTATTTTACACATCTCATCCACTACAGGGCATATTAGTATGTATAACTGTAACATGGAGTATATTTCACACATCTCATCCACTACAGGGCAGATTGATATATATAACTGTTACAGAAAGTGTATTTTAGCAATCCTATTCACTTTAGGACAGATTGGTGTGTATCACTGCTACATAAAATAGACTCAACGTATCTCATCAACTACAGGGCAGATTGGTATATATAACTTTGACAGAAATTGTATTTTACACATATCATCCACTACAGGGCAGATTGCTATATATAACTGTTACAGAGAGTATTTTTTACCAATCTTATTCACTTCAGGACAGATTGGTGTGTGTCAATGCTACATAAAATAGACTCAACGCATCTCATCTACTACAGGGCAGATTGGTATATATAACTTTGACAGAAAGTGTATTTTACACATATCATCCATAACAGAGCAGATTGCTAAATATAACTGTTACAGAGAATATATTTTACACATCTCATCCACTACAGGGCAGATTGGTATATATAACTTTGACAGAAAGTGTATTTTACACATCTCATCCACCACAGGCCAGATTGGTATATATGACTTTAACAGAAAGAGAATTTTAAAGATCTCATCCACTACAGGGCATATCTATATAACTGGTACAGAAAGCATATTTTACAGATCTCATCCACTACAGGGTAGATTGGTATAAATCACTTGACAGAAAGTGTATTTTACACATATCATCCCCTACAGGGCAGATTGGTATATATGACTTTCACAGAAAGTGTATTTTACAGATCTCATCCAGGAGTATATTTCACACATCTCATCCACTACAGGGCAGATTGGTGTATATAACTGTTACAGAGAGTATATTTTACACCTCTCATCCACTACAGGGCAGATTGGTGTATATAACTGTTACAGAGAGTATATTTTACACCTCTCATCCACTACAGGGCAGATTGGTACATATAACCGTTACAGAAAGTGTATTTTACACATATCATCCATAACAGAGCAGATTGCTAAATATAACGGTTACAGAGAATATATTTTACACATCTCATCCACTACGGGGCATATTGGTATATATGATTTTAACAGAAAGTGTTTTTTACACATCTCATCCACTACAGGGCATATTAGTATGTATAACTGTAACATGGAGTATATTTCACACATCTCATCCACTACAGGGCAGATTGCTATATATAACTGTTACAGAGAGTATATTTTACACATCGCATCCACTACAGGGCATATAAGTATATTATAACTGTTACAGAAAGTGTATTTTACACATCTCATCCACTACAGGGAATATCTATATAACTGTTACAGAGAGTATATTTTACACCTCTCATCCACTACAGGGCAGATTGGTGTATATAACTGTTACAGAGAGTATATTTTACACATCGCATCCACTACAGGGCATATTAGTATATATAACTGTTACAGAAAGTGTATTTTACAAATCTCATCCACTACAGTGCAGATTGGTATATATAACCGTTACAGAAAGTGTGTTTTACACATCTCATCCACTACAGGGAATATCTATATAACTGTTACAGAGAGTATATTTTACACATCTCACCCACTACAGGGCAGATTGGTATACATGACTTTAACAGAAAGTGTATTTTACAGATCTCATCCACTACAGGGCAGATTGGTATATATAATTGTTACAGAGTGTTTATTTTACACATCTTATCCACTACAGGGTAGATTGGTATAAATCACTTGACAGAAAGTGTATTTTACACATCTCATAAGGTTTAACTCTTAAACTGCCGAAATTTTGACTCACCAACTGTAACGTTTGATTATTATGACGTCAATAAATTGTTGACGCTATGCTAAATCAGACGTCGGGGAAATTACACGAAACAAATTTAGTTCTATAACGTCACATTTTTGGGGGCGTTCGAAGTATTTGAGTATTTTTTTCTGCGTAGTTTTGATTCACGGGTATACTTATAGTAATTTTATAATTGTTAACAAATGCATTCATTTTTTACGATAAGAAATGCGCTGTTATAATCTAGAGCCTATCTATGGCCAAGTCATCTTAATATCATACACCCAAAAGAAACTTCTCTATTAATTTAGGAGTTATCTGAACAATAATACAGGTATCTGATAGAATCCGATTTATAGGAGATTATCGATCAACTTTACAGATACTGCTATCTCTTTTAGAGATACATTTAATTAATTTACATAAAAATATAAGTAATTAAATATCTCATTATTAAATTCAATGATATTTGTACTTGATTTAGATATCTCATCCAATTTCGTTTATGAGATATCTTTTAAGAGGCACTGTCCCACTGCATGTACGGCTGCCAAAAACTGTTACTTCGCTTATGAAAATCTTTTTTTAGCGGGACTTTAACTTTCTAATAGGAAAACCATACATTGATGAACTTCTAACTATGAAATGGGGGTGGTCGGGTAGCGCAGTGGTTGCGCTCTTGCCTTTCACCAAGGTGACCGGGGTTCGATTCCCCGATTCTTCCCACAAAAAGACCCCGCACGCGAACATCCGGGCCGACACGAGTGATTAAATAAAACCTTGATATAATGACACTCATTTATCACTCTAATAAAAATTTGATACTTAATAAATGTACTTTTTGACATATTTTGGGAAAGTTAAAAACACTCTATATGCCTCATTATAGTTAGGAATCTGACATCCAATTAAAATGTCCAGAAGCTATATGTGCGCAAATACCAGGTAATTAAATAAATCCTTGTTGATCAATGTGTGCCTTCCTCGTTTTTAGGAACTACAGAAGCTGAAGGGTCAAATGGCACCACTAAAGGGAAAGCTACAGGCCTACCACAGCCTGCCGCCGGTAATGTATTGCTCTGATTTTCTGAAAACTTCTTATATGCTACTCATGTTACATAGATATTTTCAGTTAATGGATTTGAACAACATTTTTTTTAGTTTTTAAAGAAAAAGTTGATGATGCATGGACATTGCACAATTTCAGCAATTCCATCTGGACCTGAGCTAATGATAAACAAATGACACACAGAAACACATATAGTAGATACCGATTTATTTCGACAATAAAAAAACCTTTTAACATAACAGAACGTAAAATAAATCATCTCAATAGTTCACCAAATAACTTTGTTTTAATAAATGTCTTAAATATCAATAATGATTAAAAAATAAACAAAATTTAACCGAATACAATACTATCATGTGACAGTACCAAAGTGTATGGAATAATTTGAATCATGATACATCTGTATACAGTGAAATACTGTAACCTATGAACAAAAATAAAACAAGAGGCGATAGTTATTTTGTTAAAATTGATTCAAATAAAACACAAATACAACCTGCTCCATTAAAAATGGAATGGTAAATGAAGCTCTAATCATCAATGCTTTCGCTCTTTTCATTCCTATTTTCCTTGATCAAATGTAGACTTTCACAACATCGCAAATATTCATAAAAACACTACAAAATATCTGTTCTCATTATAAGATTTCATTTATATTATTAATTGAAACAAGCTAAAACTCAAAAAATTGATCTCCTTTTTAACAGTTTTTACCAAACTGGAAACAAGTTTAATTTGAAATATTCCTTTTCCCTGATGAAAATCATCAGTGAACAAACTTAGTTTCATTTATACTATAGTTCTAAGTACAAAATGAAAATTGATTCATGCACTATCAAATAACGCTTAAAACAATATCAAAACTTGTCTATACAGACATCAAATAGTATATAACAGTGAAAACTGACTTTATTGAGACCTGAACTTAAGGAAATCTTGTGACATGAGTATATGCCCCTCAATAAAGCCTAGATTTGCTGATCTAAATAACCATCAAAGGACCAATCCCCATTGATGTTGAAAAAGTCAGCTTTTACTGTTTAACTAGTTTATATGGAACCTGTATGCCACTCAAAGTCGTGGCTACCATCTAATATTTCATAAAATATTAAATTTATCTTCATCTTTGAACAATATTATGCTGATATATATATATTTTGTTACATATAAAGCCATAGAGTATGTAAGAATAACATACACAAGGTAAATATCAGGATTAATGATAAAACGACTATGACATAATACAATGTACATTGTATATAATGATTAGATGTTTAACGAGACATAGTGATTTTGCCTAAAACAGTCACACAGCACTGTCTGTAAAATCCTTTGAGAAATGAAAACATCTAAAATTAATTCCCAAGCACTTAATTTACCTGGTGTAGGTATGTCCTAGACAATATTCTGTGTATGTACTAGTAGTCAGTATTTCATCCTGAGCATTACTCTAATTTGATGATGGTGATTCATATTAAAATCAAGTGAAGATAGTGATTGATGACCCTGTGATGATGATATTGGTTCATGACCCTGTGATGATGATGTTGGTTCATGACCCTGTGATGATGATAGCAGTTTATAGCCCTGTGATGTTGGTTCTTGACCCTGCGATGATGATGTTGGTTCATGACCCTGTGATGATGATGGTGGTTCATGACCATGTGATGATGATGTTGGTTCATGACCCTGTGATGTTGGTTCATGACCCTGTGATGATGATGTTGGTTCATGACCATGTGATGATGTTGGTTCATGATCCTGTGATGTTGGTTCATGACCCTATGATGATGTTGGTTCATGACCCTTTGATGATGATGTTGGTTCATGACCCTGTGATGATGATGGCAGTTCATGACCCTGTGATGATAATGGCATGCACAGTTTATGACCCTGTGATGTTGGTTCATGACCCTGTGATGATGATGGCAGTTCATGACCCTGTGATGATAATAGCATGCACAGTTTATGACCCTGTGATGTTGGTTTATAACCCTGTGACGATGTTGGTTCATGACCCTGTGATGATGATGGTTCATGACCCTGTGATGATGATGTTGGTTCAAGACCCTGTGATGATGATGGTGGTTCATGATCCTGTGATGACCATACTTTGCTGATATTGGTTCATGGTTTTAATTTGTGATGACAGTAGATCTCAGGGCTGGGTTTAAACTTTCTTTTCTAACTTTCATGTCTTCCGCTACTCCTATTCAATGAACATCTGTGATGTCAACAATTTACAATCCCACCATGATGTGAGAAAATGAATCTGTTGCTCTTCTTTTCCAGTACAGATCTGTAATGTATGTGGAGTTATAACCACCCTTCTCCTTACCCCACCAAGATCAGGATATAAGGGGTTAGATTTATGCTCCAACTTTAATGTCCGGTGGTGATATTTGCCTTTCACCTTCCCCCAGGAATATCTGAAGGGCCTTCTTCAGGAGGTACACCCCCACCTGTTGTCTTTGTTTGTTAGACCACGTAGTTGACACACTGTAGTAATCTCCCCTTTTCTTGTTTGTCAAATTTGACAGACCTGAACAAATAAACAGTTATTTCAAATCATGTACCAAGAATTTTCATAATGTAACTATATATATGGAAGTACAGTGTATTGGTGCGAGAAAATACCAATTTGTGAAGTGTTGAACTCTGATTCAACATTGTTGAATAAAAAAAGTCACTTTACTAGCTAGACATATTCAATGTCACATTTAATTCACAGTGTCATCATGTCAGGAAAATAACACTAAACACTTAGTAATTTACCAGGTAAAGTCATCTGCAAACATAATACACTGTACATTAATTATAGCTATCCTGTTTCAGTTATATTTTGTAAAGGAACAAAAGATAGCTATGACCTATAAATGGATAATATATCAAAAATTTGTTAAAACATTTTTAGTTTGTTTGAAACGCTTTAAAGCTTTATTCTTTTCGTCCAAATACGTACTTCATTTGTTACCAAAGACTTGCCACAGGGTCAAATGCATTTTTATGTTTGCTATAAAAACTTAATTTACAAATTTACAACATTGAAAATGAGGAGATTTATTCCCAATATCATGTGATGTATGGTAACAAAATTTACACTTACCAATGACATTCACAATTCCAGCCAATAATGTGATGTGTTGTTACTACAGTAGTACTTACCCAAAGCGTCCACTATACAGGCCTCTCGGGTGTAGGCCTCCACCGGTATGACGCTCTGGAAACAGTGGAGAGACACCACACCCTCCCCAGAACCCCAGATGTCTAGGATGCGTTCAATCTTCTCACTAACCTACAAAAACACCACAATCATGTCAATGTACACAGAACTTAATAAGACCCATCCCTTGTTTACTTTCAACACCAAATTTAACAAGATTTTCCAGATTATAAATCCTGTTGGTTTATCATCTAATATTAAAGGAAACCCTCACAAGGAATATTCATGTACAATATTTTAAGGAAATATTTTAAATTTTGAAATACTGAATTATGATAAAACTTGCTTAAACATTTAACTCAATAATAATAATATATTTCTTATATTGCTCATTAGAAATATCTTCTGTGATAACTTTTCCATTTCCAAATTTTCTCAAAAATGTTACTTATAGGTTCAGGACCAATCGTCTCATTTGTACAAATCCAGTTTGGTCCTTGTATTAAACATTCCACAATTCGATAAGAAACTTTTAAAAGTTTGAACTGAATCGTGAAAAAAAATGAACAGGGAATTCCATTTGATTCTGAACACTTTTATGTGAGGTCCTAACGCTTACTTTGGGTTTGGGTGATTTCAGTTGGTTGATGGCTTCATACAGGTGACAGTATGGACGAGCCCGTTTACCCTTACCCACGTAAAAAATGGCAGAGACGAACGTCCGGAAAGTGTCCAGTTCACCTAAAATAAGAACACAGCCTTGGTATCAAAGTAAAATTCTCATCATTGATCGGGAGAGTCTAGTCAGAAAACAAATTTTCCACAATATGATATCTATTGCTTCAAATTTTTTAAATAGCAAATATACATACATGTATTATCGACAGAAAAAGTTTGATACAGGAAAATTTTAGTGATTAAAAGTTGAACCCAAGATTAGCAAAGACAATTGTAAGGGAACTGCACCATAGCAAGAAGCAAAAACTAGGATAGTCTTGACCAGTGTTTGAATGCCCTGTTTTTAAAGTCATTACATCACATTATATCTTCATTATGAAACATGGAGAAGCCTTGCAACCTTCAGTCAAAAGGGAATAATGGGATGGATTTTCATATTGAGTTATGCTGAAAGCCACAATATCTGTGACTCGCCAAATAGTTCCCCTCTCAATAGAGCTATATTAAGCTTCATAACTTTGATTAAAGACAATTTTTCACTAATTTGTTTTCTTGTAAATAAGTCTTTTTGTGTATATTATCTAAAGATGATCATTTTGAATGCCAAGACATATGAAAGTTGTTGCCATTTTAACTTAACAATTTAGCAAATATTTCCTCACAAAGTGTTATAAATGATATCACCTTAGATAGCTATTGTGAGGATGTGAAAACAAAACAAATCAAAGTCCAGATATTTGCAAATGAAAGAACTATAAAGGAAGTCCTTTTCTGCTGTGTGTTGAATATTGTTCCTTCTTTCAAGTTCAAAATAGAACAGAGATAAAATTTAAGGTTTCACAGTTATGATATCTGTATTCGGGAGCATCCTAGAACATGTTTCATATGAAATGTACACATCACAAGCATACTCAACATTAGTCCGAATTATTCTGACGTTTTATCGACTTTTTTAATATCGGTCTGTCGTCGATTAACGTCAGAATTCCGGCCCTCTATAATGTGCGGGAAATATGCGACCCGTACCCGGAGCGCACTTCAAACTGATATTTTAGAAACAAATCGTCACTTTCACACACATGTCGCACATGGATCGAAAGATCTATTCTTTATGCACAAGATGAACATAAATTACATGCCTCAAACAATCAATACAATCACTAAAAACATATTTTTTTAAACTTACTCTGTTTTACTCTAGTTTTTTGATAGCCCCGCCTTCTAATGCCGCGTGACTAAAATCTCGCCGGCTTACGTCGTAACGTTGGGATATACCTTCGGTAACGCGAGATCTCGTCAAGTCATGTGACATTGCTCATGGCCTAATTTCCATTAAAAACATGGGTTGGTATAGAAAACGTTGGAAAATACTTTTCGTAATGATCTTTGAAACATGTTATTGATACCACCTAGTGCATAAAGAATAGATCTTTCGATCCATGTGCGACATGTGGGTGAAAGTGACGATTTGTTTCTAAAATATCAGTTTGAAGTGCGCTCCGGGCGCGGGTCGCATATTTCCCGCATATTATAGAGGGCCGGAGTTCTGACGTTAATCGACGACAGACCGATATGAAAAAAGTCGATAAAACGTCAGAATAATTCGGACTAACTCAACATCATTAGCTACATACTAAGAGAACAGCTTCTATTTGGCAGATTCTTGGTGATGCGTGGATCAAGCAGAAGGTAATTAAAAGATGACTTCATGGTTCCCTCTCTCCAGCGACAAGCCTGCCTGGGATTCTGGAAGGCTGCCACCATCTTGGTTTCTAGGTCAGCAGCTATACTGCTGTCATAGTTACCATCTAGTGCTGCATTCAAGGCACTAGAGTAACCTAATCAACGAAAAATAAAAACATAGCAAAAGCTGTACATGGACACTGGATCAGTAAATGTGACAGGAAATACCTGTATGTAGTACAAAGGAACCTAATTTTTTTTTGTATTATGAGCTCCATATATACAGGTGTATAGTCAAACCTCAATATGATGCCCCTCGTTTCATTTGCAACCTTACTTAATTCTGACATATTTCAAGGTGTAATTTCTCTTTTTCATAAGAACTCCTTTCTATGTTTCCCTCATTTTATCGCCAAATCCCTTTATTATGCCAAATGTCTCTGAATAAATGGTGGCAGTATAATAAGATTTTATTGTATAAGGAAAGCTTTATCAAATAAATCAGTTTAAAACAGAGTTCAGTATCAAAATTTCATTTCCTGTACAAGTATTTCTATTACCTACAGTCAAAATGCACCTAGTTTTCTGTATTTAAATACCTTTTATAGATTAAATGTTTTCATACATTTTATTTTGATATTCATGTCACAATCAACATCAATATTGTTATAAGATAAAATTTTGAAACAAAATGTGCAATTACACTCTCTGAAATAGCTATTGCAGCAGCACCAGTAGATCCAATGCGGATATGTCCAGTGATACTGTCAATATTTTAGAGTCAAGACATTAAATTGTTACGTAAAAAATACCTGGGTGTTTTGAAGTTAACACTATCTGAGGATCACTCTCCACTCGTTGTAACCTCAACAGGTAAGTCTGCCTTGTGCCGGGCGTCACCGGTCCAGGATTGTCTCCCATGAGCTGTAATCTACTACGAATATCATCATTACTAAGACTCCTTAGACAGGGTGGGATTTCATCCTCTTTCTCGGAACATATTCCGTCTAGCTCTGAAGCGTCACTTTTCCGTTGGTGATTTTTACACAGGGATTTCCAGCTGTAGGTCTGTGTGGCCTGGGAGTCTAATGTGTGTGTCGTACTTGTGCTATCCAAGGACAGACGCTGTATAGTGCTGCCACATTGTGACGGGATTCTGCGTTCCACTAAGACAATACCTTCCTCTGGGTCACTGTACACATACTCCACCGTAGCGGCACTGTCAAATGACAGCCGCCCAAAACTTTGGTTCAGAATGTCACAATCTGTAATCGATGTTTGGTCATCGTCATATAGCAGAGTATCGTCAGAATCAACAACTACAGAATCTCGAACATCTTCTGTAACAGTTGACGTTTTGGAAGAACTTTGAGTTTCAGATTCACGTCTACTGTCGTAAGAAATTGTGTCGTCCAGATCTGTAAGGAGAGAATCATTGACAACTTCCTTGAGCGATGACATCCGATTTTCTGACGTTTTCTTTGGATGCCTTTGACAGAAGCTCTCGTCCGATGAAATCAAGTCACTGGCATTTTGGTCCACTGGCATGGTAGGGGGTTGCCATATGTGGTTTTCTTTGGATTCAAGACTTATCCTTCGCATATTATCAACCAGCTGCCTCTGTGGATCGGCACTGTTCAGCCAGTTCTGGACTTTTCTCTCACATCTCACCTTTTTTTGGTCGAGACTCTGCAACGGTGAACTATTTTCACTTTTTACTGCGCTTCTTCCCCGAGCCCTGTTACAGGTTCCGCATGTTTTGTCGTTCAGTTTGTTTGAAGGTGTTGGAACGTTTCCATAGGTTCTCCAAGATTCTCTAGAAGTTGTCTCTGTGTTTTTCTGTTTTCGTTGGTTCGCATATTTTTCGTGAAATATTCTATCCTCGCGAGACAGGTTTGGAGACTGCCTATTCACTGTTCCACGGCATAACTTGTTTTCTTTGGGCAACATACCAGATTGTTCTTTGGTAGGTTTTCCACAGGAATAGTTTCCTTCATGTCCATGATATTCATTCTCATTGTAACTTTTCTTGCCCTGTGCAGGATTCTGCCCATATAAACAACCGGAGTGTCTAATAAAAGTTTTTTCATTTGTTTTCATAGATTGATTCTGTCCAGGAGAAGTACAAGAACGTCCACTCTCTGTATTTAAACAAGATTTCCTAGACTGATTGTCATGTGAGTGCCAGTCACCAGATTGTCCATTTATCTTCCTAAAATATTCCTGACCAGCCGATGACTTTGATTTTCCACCTACTTTTTCATCCAGAATTGTAGAAAAGAAACTGTGATGAGTTGTCTGCCCCTGACCATTTGCTGACACTGTATCGGTGCGAGTAGGACTTGGTCCACTTGAGCAGGACAGGAAAGTGTCATCATCAGTTGAACTGGTCAATGAATCATTTAAGACTGCATTCCAGGGCAAAGTCTGTGTCAGGTCGTCTGCCCAGTGGACATGGCACGAGTTCTGAACAAATCCTAAGTCGTTTGTGTCTGTTTGTCCTGAAAGGTCGATGTCTCGACTTTGGTTCTTTTGCTCCAGAAAGGGGTGATCTAAAATTTGAAATGCAAAAGTTCAGATCATAAATAATGTTGCCAGCATTGTACATCTTGTTGGTGACGTAGATAAGTACATAACGCTGCACATATTCAATTCAAGTTATGATTTTTCAAATTGTTCCATTTTAAAATGCATTGCTAGTGCTTTGCATTCACCAAATTCACTGCCAGTTAAATCACCACAATCATTATGTATCATTTCTCATAATCATATTAACATCTACCTTCCAAATAAACCATAACCAGTCTTTAATGGAACAGCCAGTTATTGAAAAGGGACCACGGAAAGCATCTGTGTTGTCAGGACATGGATGATAAATAAACTCAATTTGGAAGTGACAGGACACTGACTGTTGCTTTACCTGTAGACTTTTGCAAATTGTAAATCTGAATGACATCACATTAATGTTAATGTGTATAGAAAATTAAATAGTGCGATAACATTACTATACGTATGTACCTGGCGAGGTGACATCACAACAAGTGTGTTCTTGGTGAGGTGACATCACATGTACCTGGTGAGGTGACATCACAATACATGTGTACTTGGTGAAGTGACGTCACAATACATGTGTACCTTGTGAAGTGACACCACAAAACAAGTGTATCTTTGGTGTGACATCCCAATATTTGTATACCTGATGAGGTAACATCACAATACATTTATACCTTGTTAAGTGACATCACAAAATATGTGTACCTTAAGTGTGACATTACTGCATAGTATGTATACCTGGTTAGGTGTCATTACAATACAAGTGTACCTTAGGTGTGATATCACTGTATTTGTATACTTGGTGAGGTGACATCACAATACAAGTGTACCTTAGGTGTGACATCCCTGTATTTGTATACCTGGTGAGGTGACATCACAATACAAGTGTACCTTAGGTGTGATATCACTGTATTTGTATACTTGGTGAGGTGACATCACAATACAAGGGTACCTTAGGTGTGACATCACTGTATTTGTATACCTGTTGAGGTGACATCACAATACAAGAGTTCCTTAGGTGTGACATCACTGTATTTTTATACCTGTTTAGGTGACATCACAATACAAGAGTAACTTAGGTGTGACATCACTGTATTTGTATACCTGTTGAGGTGACATCACAATACAAGAGTTCCTTAGGTGTGACATCACTGTATTTTTATACCTGTTTAGGTGACATCACAATACAAGAGTAACTTAGGTGTGACATCACTGTATTTGTATCCCTGGTGAGGTGACATCACAATACAAGAGTACCTTAGGTGTGACATCACTGTATTTGTATCCCTGGTGAGGTGACATCACAATACAAGTGTACCTTAGGTGTGATATCACTGTATTTGTATACTTGGTGAGGTGACATCACAATACAAGGGTACCTTAGGTGTGACATCACTGTATTTGTATCCCTGGTGAGGTGACATCACAATACAAGTGTACCTTAGGTGTGACATCACTGTATTTTTATACCTGTTTAGGTGACATCACAATACAAGAGTAACTTAGGTGTGACATCACTGTATTTGTATACCTGGTGAGGTGACATCACAGGAGAGCTGTCTGTGCCCGGTCAAACATGAATTCAGGTGTTGGTTGATTTGATCTGTATAAGTGCTTCCCTCCTGGTCAAATGCCCATTCCAGGAAATCGTCTAGATAAAGGGGGTCGTCTTTCATGTGTTGGTAGATCTTGTCACGATCTGACTGACACTTTTTACTTGTTTGTAAATGGAAGTCATCACTGCTTTCACCTGCATTGTTGACAAACAATTTTTAAACATAACCTTTGAGATGCTTATCAATTTGAGAAGGTTTCCTCTATATTAGAAAACATAGTTGAATTCAATTGTCTAAACAACATTTAAATAGCACATTACTTTCCCCATCTGTACCTGGTGACAATACATGTATGCCTGGTGAAGTGACATCTTAATGTTTAATTTACAAGTTTTGAAACAGATAATTTGTATCACTCCTCCTTGATATGAAGACATTATCAATCTGGTGCCTCTCACAGGATACTGGTAAGCCCCATTCCCAAAGAAATCACAACTGGAAGGGGAGAGAGGGATCACAGATTTCCTAAAAGCGAACATATAATGATTGGAGGTCTAGTTTGGAATCCAGGTATGGCCCTATAAACTTTTGGATTTTTTACTTTAAAACACTGTTGTTGACTCTTTTATTTGTTATATTCATCTTCACAAAAAAAATTAAGCATAATTTTCTTTTCAGAAATGATTTACCAAAGCTATACAATAATCATGCAGAAATGTGTACAATGCATTATTACAGATTTTGGCAGTGGTACTGTCTGTCTATATAGCTAACTGTTCAAGTAGTACTGATAAGCTTGATTCTCTTGTATCTTAGCAATTTAATATCGGTAATAACTTACACGGCTTGTAGATGATTTTGGGCTGCCTGGAGCTGTCGACATCAGGAGATAGCAACAGCGTGCAGAACTCGAGCAGACGGACACAAGTGGTGTGTCCATAGGTCTGAGCGCTATCTAGTACACTGCTTCCATCCTAAAACATAATGTAAACATGCAACTTTTGGGGGGGTATGGTGAATTCTGTCAAGTCAGACAAGTAATAATGTCATGCCCCAAGTTGCATTCTCTGATGATCAATCTTATACCAACTTTAATATAGAACTATCTTGCATATCAATTTAAATGACTTTAGGATTCAAGAGCAAAAACACTCAACATAGGTAAATATGCATTTGCATGTTTTTCAAAAATCCCACATGAAGTTATAATGTAGATTTCACCACAAAGCAAGTGACAGTAATAGAAGTAAACAGATAATGGATATTATACAGTTATAATTGATTATGGAAAAACTATTTTTTTAAGAAAATGTGAAATCATATAAACAATTCATTATAAAGATTACGTAAATGTATTATTACATATATACACAATTCATTATAAGGATTACGTAAATGTATTATTACATATATACACAATTCATTATAAAGATCATGTAAATGTATTATTACATATATACACAATTCATTATAAAGATTACGTAAATGTATTATTACATATATACACAATTCATTATAAAGATTACGTAAATGTATTATTATATATATACACAATTCATTATAAAGATTATGTAAATGTATTGTTATACTCTCTACAAACCTGATCTCGAGCTAATGGATCACCACCATTGAGTAGGAGGATTCGTAGACTGTCTTGGTCGCCCCACGTGGCAGATACATGCATTGGTGTGGTACCATCTACTGATCTTTAAGTGAAAATAATATAAGTTACCTCCCCTTGATACTTTTTTTTTAAAGACCTACTCTGCACAATTTCGATTTGGTTACAATTCTTTTCTTTTCTCCCTATGAAATATATTTTAATTCTAAAGGCAAAGTCATATTTTAAAGAAAAAGATCATATTTAGAAATCCAATTGACAAACTGATACACATGTATATATATGCGGCTTAAAATAGTCATAAGGATATTTTCTAAATGCATCTAGTCTAATAAAATAAAATGTGTATGTACCAGTATCTATATCTAAGCTGTGCAGGAACCATATATAGCTCAAGGTCCGATCAGGTTTTTTTATTTTAAAATTTAATTATTTTAGAAATTTTAAATTATCAGACCAAATTATCTGAAATTTCAAAATAAAATATAATTTATCGGACCTTAAGCTACGTTTTTTTACTAAGAAAAGTATTTGTGATTAATTACCCTTAGACATTATAATATTGTACCTGATATTTGGATCTCCACCATATTGAAGGAGGAGCTTAGTGGCCTCCAACCCAAGTCCTGAGGCAATGTGTATACAAGCCACACCCTCCACAGGCAGTACTGCATTTGGATTGGCACCCTCATTTAGTAGAAGCTCCGCCTCTCTGAAATATATATCAATTAAATAAGTTCTAAGTAGGTAACATGACCTCGTATTATCTGCTTTGACTCCTCCTACAGAAACTATTAAATAAATAAAAACTGTTTAAAATTTTGATTTTATTATTAACAAGAAAGTCAGCAATCAAATATTTATCAATTATAAAATTCATAAAATATGGGATGTGATGAGAAAAGGGCCCAACTTCCCTTGACAAATATTAATTATAATCATCACCATATAACTGTATATATTTCTTTGCTTGTCATGATACCACTATTCGAAACTTCAGAACCCAATCCATAAACTAACACCACTGGCAGTCATTTTATATCTACTTTTCCCATGGCCAGCTCCTGCAAAAATATTTTCTAGTGCACCTGTGTAACAATTTCCTGGAAAGAACTATTTTCAAACACCAAAGACAATATTTGATATTAATGTATCCTGTGCACAGTGTACAAATGTAATATTATAAGCGATCCAAACCATATCTGCTGTAGTTTCTCAAGATTTCAAAGCAGCAGGCTGAGGTCCATGATAATTATAAGTATACATGCACATAATTCCATTAACATCTTCTACTTCTATATATTATATAGAAATTATTGTGCATCAGATCTGAAGCAAGTTCATCATCGGTGGTGACCATGCAGTAACAGTTCATTTGGCCAAGGCAGTACGTACAGTATAGCTATCTAGTTTTTAGAAGCTCCTTGTCCAAATCTGGCTTGCATTGTGATCTTGCCAACTACAATGTGTCCAATACTATTAGAGCATTTGAACAGTTAGCCTAAGTTTCCTCTAAACGTAGACCTGACATCTGTCTATCTAAATGTTTCACATCTAGTGTTTTGGCCATCTCACCAAAATACACACGGACAAGAAGAAACCCAGACTAAAGAATAATAGTTAGGGTTCTGTTTAGAGAATCATGTCAAATGTTATAATCAAATGAAATAACATACAAGTTAACATGTTGTATTGCAAGGTTTGTTTACCTTATTTTAATTACTTGCTTACAACGCCCCCTTTCTAAATTAAATCTACCCTTATATGGTAAGATTGCAATTTGCATACGATTGACAACTGTTTAAAAAATAATGGAGGTCGGGTTTACTTTTTGGAATTTCAAAATATAGGGGTATGGCCGGAGAAATTATACACGAACACGATCTGATCGTTTTGGAGAATACGTGTAAACATAGCTGCGATAACCTACGTACGAAGAGCTTCTGAATGACGACGAGACGATTCGGGCAGAATGAGATGAGACCTATTACTGAATCAGGCCTAGATACTAGCAAACAGTAATACTGCAGTGGACAAGCTATATAGTTCATAAAACAATGCAGTAAATTAGCAAAGAAAATGCGTGGAACATGTCTTGGGCCTCTCACGCAGAAGTTTTTGGGCTCATTTTTTACCATTATGTTGCAGAGGCAGACCCATTTTCATAAATATTTGTCAGTCTCATTTGAATACCATTGAAATTATGATATTTAAAAGTGTTGTATTAATCAAGTAATAATAGAACATAAATTATATGGTCTTGAATAAGGCGATGATGATGAGAAATGCATACATCAAGTCCTCCAAGTTGAGGGCCCCAAATAACCTGTGTGTTATTGTTTCGTCCGCCATTTTAAATCTCCCCCGCTTTAGGTCACGTGATATGATCTGGCGTAAGATAATTTAACATTATCAGGCGAGCTGAGGATTACTTGCCACTGTTCTATTTGAATTCTTACCCTATATATTCTGGTTTAATTTAACATATATTTTTAACAGCGGGCAAAACGCCAAAAACAATATTTTAGTATTTAAATAAATTGTGCAGTTCTATACTTTAGAGTTACATCCCTTGAACTATTTTGGTATCATAAAAGCCGAGTACCGACTTCGAGGGTCTTCATATAAGATATAACTACTGACTCTCATCCAAGTATCTAATTCCTGTAGGAATTCTTATCTTAATCAGAGATTTATAACTACAGAATTTTCATCATTATCGATCTCTGATTTAGATAGAGTTCCTACAGAAATTACGAAGTATCCAGAAAGTCGTGAGGATCAAAATTGTTTCTTGTTTTTTTTTCATGATTTAACATTCTGTGGTTCTTTAGCACTTTATGAATATGCCTAAACATCATACACACACACACACACTGTACATAATTCCTTTTCATTATACAAGTTAACCGTAATTGTCTTAAATTAATGGAATTGTCTTCGGGATGTGTCCTTGATCAAGATTACAATTTCCTAAAGACTCGCATTCAGATATTTATCTTTAAAATATCGTTTCAAATCCACTCTAAATAACAACAACCTTGTCGAACAGATTATAATTCAAAGCATATGTTTTATTACTGATATTCCTAAATTTAGGGACATATATAGTAACGAGTTGTTAGTTTATCAGTCAGCAGCCGACATCAATCATGCAAATCATGTTGTTCGGAACCAGCTCTTAAATGCCGAAGCATCTTTGATATGTAAACACACAATAGGGTGTGAATGCAGGGTTATTACTATAAAGAAAGGGAAACTTCGTAATCGGAAAATGTAATTCGTCATAACTAGCAGCATACAGGTTTAGGCAATCCCTGTTGGTGCTGCTGTAAGAAAATAACGAGGAAAGCGACTGGAGTAGAAGAGTTTGGAGTGATGATGATTCCAAATTCAGCAGAATATGTAATAGACGTCGTCAATAATGTAATGTTTAAACATTAAAGACCAAACATCATCAACATATCCGAAAGTGAGTTTTACGACTTGGCAAGAGTTTTTACCATTCCTGACCGAATACATAGATGGACCTGAATGAGTATTGTCAAACCAAGCACTGAATAGATTCTGAATTAATGTTGTATTAGATTTAATAATACATTTATTGTATGCCTGTTTTTGCTGTTGCCATGCCATTGTAAATATGTATATCATATAGAGAGAAAGCGTTTATTCAAGTTGTTTTCACTTGGGGTTTATCCCTCATCTTATTGCCACTAAATATGTTTTAACTGAACTGATCATTCAAACAATTTCATCCTCGGTAAATTTCGTTTTTGGCCTTTGTCGTGTTTTCACAAAATCTCTTCCAAAATAGTTATAAACATATTGTCGCAGGCATTTCTTGGGGAATAATACATGAATAAGAAAAAGAAGGCGTTCCTTTAGTTTGGTAAGTTAAAGAATGCAATACAAACATTTAAGGCATGTCCATATCTTTAGTTTTATAGAGTTTTTCGGTGTTTTTTTCATAATTACCATATCAAAGTTCTTTTTATATATTATAAATATATTATATATAACTGTACAATGCACGTTCTTGTTTCAAACTTCTCTTTTACTTAAACCTATTCGATTATTTATTTTTTATTATTAAGATTTTATTTAATTATTTTCATAAACGTTTAGACTACATACTTGCCAACGTTTGAAAAAAAATGTCCAAGGGGGAGATAACACATGCTCAAAATTAAAAGCATAAATAAAATGTGAGTGTATACCCCTCAGGACAAACAAAAAATACTTGAAAATGACATCCTTTGAACTTTTCTTTCAGATGAAACTATAGCTATTACAGAATAGGAATAGTTTAACAGGTTCGCTGGTTGAAATGCTCAATTTTTAAGTTAGGTTAAAAAAAAAAGAGTCTGCCTCCATAATATGGAGAATTTGCAAGTATGCATTTAAAAAGGGCTAGTTTTTGTGGAAAGTATTTTGATTTATTTTCCAAAAATATGTAACAGATGTACAACATAATTTTTCGAGGAGCAGTGTGTTGTGTTGGGGCATTTGAGATAAAAGTTTCGTTTCGAATTGTATGATGCATGTCTGTTGTTGTCGGTAAGTTTGATTGGTGATGCATTTAGCTCAACCCACAATTGATTGCGGAACTTCCGGCCGCCAAAACATGAAAAATGTTGTCAACCTGAATACTTAAAATGTCGAGTCTTCCAAATACCATGAACGAACAACATCAAGAAGTATGTTATCTCGCTTGTTGTTTGAAATTTAAGGCTTTCGTTTCAAAATTATTCAGTCTATTGGCTGCTGAGCCCCGACTTCTTCAAAAGTTCACTAGACTGTTGTTGACACTCAAATGACAGTGACAGTATATTGTATTGTGATCACAGTAAACCACTTGCAGAGTTTGTTGACATTTGTTGAAGGATAAATTAAGAGACTTTTGTGGTCATTTTTGCAAAGAGGTAACTAACCTTATGTATGCAAACTTATTTCTTAAATGACAAAGTGTGACACTGACTGTCTCCATTTACTGATTTCTTCCAAAAGCCAAGGTTCCCTCTTGACTGCGTTAAATGCTCATATAGCACTTCTTTTCATGTTTGTATATTTACAGATCAGAGAATGGCTTGATAATGTATTTGGAGGCGAGCCAGTACCTTCATATGAACTCAATAAAACCACTATACGGGTGTTGTACAATCTGATGAGGAAAAATGTGACTGTCGATGAGGACACACAACATGTCATCGCCGACCTTCGACAGAAAACACAGGAATATAATGCTGAAGGTATATAGTTTATACATTTTCTTGACCTGTGAACATAACATGTGCAGCTGTCAATATGTCGTTTCCGAAATACTATGTTCCATAAAAAGTGAAATGATTTGTGATTATAAACAATGTACATATATGTAATTATAGTGGTTATGGTGAAATATTTACCATCGTATGACATTGACTTTCTATATATAACCCTACCAAATTCAGTTGGCATTCATATAGGCTATGAATGCTATAAGGAATGATTGTTGACGTCATCATCATTATGATGTCATAATATTGTTAACAAATGTAGTTGGATACCACTAACCCTCCCTAGGCGATGGAAAAAGCATACACGATATATGTTGAATAATAATAACTGTATTGTAATTTTCTTTGAGATGAACAGATTCCAAAACTATAAGTATGCAGCAACTGCTTTCGATTGGCATTCATAGGCAATATATCCAGTTTGTCCAGTTGGCACTCAGACTGCCTATGAATGCCAACTGAAAGCAGTTTAGTGTTAAAATTGATACATAGAGTTTGAGGGATGTGTGTGTGGAGAAGTGGGTGGTGGTGGAGGGGGCACATATACTTCTAACTTGAAGATTAATCAGTAGCAACTAATGCCATCTTAATTTGAGTGAATTTTGGATTTTAATGGTTGAAATTTCCCATCCACATGTATAAAGGGTTATTTACTATAACTAAAATATATCCTCTCAGTCTCATTGGCCGGGGCTGGAAACAGTAAATCAGTGCTCCAGCATATATTTTTGTTCTTTCCGAATTTGTTATCTCAAAAAAACTGGAAACCTTTTCAAATAAGAAGTTTTAGCTCAGTTGAACAGGCATTGATGGATTGATGGACAGGCACTGCCCATCATTGTGTTCTCCGGGGATCGTATGGGAATAAAAATCCATCCACACATGCAATGTACAGTAAACTGTTTGATGTAACAGATTTCATAATAACAAAGTTCCTGTGTACTAATTCCTGATCATGTTTGTTCCACAGCCGGAAGACTGGAGCATATTCTGAGAGGTGTCAGTCTAACATCTTCAGTGTTGTCACAGTCGGGTGTGATGAGTCTGAGAACTCTGGCTAATGTCGCCCTTCTCCTACAGATCAAAGATGTATCCGATACTACGTAAGACACCTTATATGTATTAGACTGAACACTGAATTCACATGTACATATATGCAATATGAAATATAGACAATGATTTTTTTGAGGTATCACTTCATATCCTGTAGAGAATCGAACAGAGCATGTTATTCCATGAACTTTTCAATATGAATTCAGACATTATACTTAATGTATTAACTGGAAATAAGCCTGCGCCTGGTAATAAGCCCACCCTTGTCAAGTTCATTTAAAAAGAAATACTTACAAATAGTTCTAGAAAACATCAACAAAACAAAAACAATTGGCCTTAATACTAATATTCAAGAACTTAAATGTATACAGTATACATTGTATACAAGTTTTAACATAAGTAATATTTATAATCTGACTACATGCATGTACATAGACTGTTTTACAAAATAACTTCTAGAACTAGATTTTAATTGTGACTCTTGTTTTACATTTAATATAGCTGTGTCCAGAATGGGTTCCAATGTGGCTTTACTGTCGTTATGTGATATGTTGTTTCAGTTATATGCTGGCATTGCAAGCCCTGCAGGACGAACTGTTCAAAACAGAGGAGAGTTATCGCCAAGAACAGACAACTCTGCAGCAGCTCAGGGACAAATCTAAGAACGCTCTCCTGAAATATAATACCATCAAAAGGTAACATGACACAGATAACATTTCTTAATTATTAATGAATGCCAGTTAAATTTTATTGAGGTTGGTAAATACGTTCATATTTTTCAAAAGTGAATATGAAAAATATTCATCAAAGAAGCTGAAATATCAGTGGTATTAACAAAGAAACCAGGGATATTCTTTACATTAAGTCTACAGCAGACTAACATGTCTGGGAAGAGACAATTCATTGCATTGTTGAGCAACATCAGTCAATAATGAATGTAGCTGATTAACAGAAGATACTTGATGTACAGTTGACATGTTTTGTTGGGAAAGAAATGAAAATAGATTACATTTAAGTAACATAATGTCTTACCTTCCATGTTTACCCGAGATAAACACATGCTTTGTTAAAACAGATTTTTTTTAATAAGAAAAATATTTATGAATATATACCATTTCAAACACTCTGGTAAAATCTTCTCTGTAAATGTAAGATAATGTTTAGGATGAAACACTATTTTACAGGATTAGACTTACAAATGCTGGCCTCTCAGTACATCTTAATTTTCATCAGTCACTATACTATTCTATAATATGCATTGAAACTGCAAATGCAAATAAACAGAGAGATTTGCATGATACATTGCCATAATAAATTCAGCATCCATATTATATCGCTTTCATTGATGTATTAAAAAAGCAAAATTTCACTTTTTACCTTGAGGTACCAAATTCTGTATGCATGTATATTTTTGAAGATTGTCATGTGCAAAAACCAGGTTCAATGGGACCTGGTTTTCACATGTCGGGGATATGAATCAAAGAAAAATTTGGTCCATTTTACAATTATTGATAATTTCCAGCAAAACAATTCTCCTGAGTTCCTTCAAAAAGTACATTTATGCACTTCTTTTATCAGTTTGGTAAATAAAGAAATCCTAATTGATCCTAATTGATATAGAAATATGAATTTCCTCACTTTACAAGTAGTCTCCCTTTGGCCATCGTGTGGACTTGAAAACAAAGAAAGGGAGAGAATAATCTATTGTTAAAAAGGTTATAAACTTTATCAATAATTATACATGTACGTTAATAATAATACCTGTTGTTTTCTATAATCAGGAGCCTTTCGGTGCTACAAGAGCAGGCCAAGAGTCGACACCCAGAGATGGAGGGAAAGGCAAAAGAAACGGTTTTCTCACGCAGCAAAGCCAAGGAGTACAAGGAAAAGATCAGTCAACTACAGGTATAAGCCGCCTGGGTTTCCTTGCTCTTGCTGAGTTACTGAGTGGTCATTTAAATTTATGTACTACCATTAGAAACACTAGAATATTTCACATTTCCTCTATAGAAATTGTTAATGAAAAAAGCACTTTTTAGCTTGCCTATTCGAAGAATAGGGGGGCTAATGTAGTCACCCCGGCCCCGGCGTCCCACCTTCCGAGGTTGAAGTTTAAAAAAAAATTTGAGACAGTGTTGGATCATCACACTCAATGCACACCTTAATTGGACTTAGTTAAATTTGAGGTTAAAGTTTTTGGGCAAGTTTTTTCCAGACAGTGTTGGACAACCACCATCAATAGGCTGTTGTCTATTATAAGGTTGAAGCATTTATATGGAGTGTTAGCAATGTTCTGGGCAATATTTTCATATTTTATGGCCCAAAATACCTTAATTGGACTAAGTTAAATTTGAGGTTAAAGTTTTTGGGCAAGTTTTTTTGTGAAGTGTTTGACAACCACCATCAATACAATTAAGAAAGTGTTGTCTTTACAGAAAATGTTATCAAGTACAGGAGTGGATTCCTCTGTATACCACAGAGAACTTGTTCACAAGTCTGAGGTAAATATTTTATCTAGTTGTATATCCATACTGGCCTAATTATTTGTAAGTGAAAATAATGCCAGGTCTTCAAACAATAAAACCTTGTGATAATGACACTCATTTATCACTCGAGTAAAAATTCAATGCTTAATAAATGTACTCTTTGCCATATTTTGGGAAAGTTAAAAACACTCTATAGGAAATATGCCTCATTATATCTAGGAATCTGATATCCAATAAAAAAATTCCAAAAGCTATATGTACGCAAATAATTAAATAAATCCTTGTTTATCAATGTGTGCCTTCCTCGTTTTTAGGAACTACAGAAGCTGAAGGATCAAATGGCACCACTGAAGGGAAAGCTACAGACCTACCACAGCCTGCCGCCGGTAATGTATTGCTCTGATTTTCTGAAAACTTCTTATATGCTACTCATGTTACATAGATATTTTTTTGTTCTGTTGATTTCAAAATAGTTTAGATTCTAGACTCTTTTCTGAATTTAACGAAATTCCACAAAATCCAATATTTTGAAATATGAATCAATATATATTTTCTGCAGAAAACGTGCTAGTACATGACTTTTCAGCAAAGAATCGGTTCTGTCTGAGTTTTATATATTGATTTCAAAGTCTGTCATTATGTTTTAATTTTTCTAAAACTACGTACTTCACATGGACATTTATTAATTAAATGTTGATTTTTGTATAATTTTCAGGATATTTCATTAACAAAAGTGAAACTGGAAGAAATGAAGAGGGAAGTGGTATGTTACAGTCTTATATCTATTTTCTGGCCAATTAATAGCAGAGCTTAGATTGTGGCACATAATTTGAAGTCTGTTTTCAAGTCTTGTCCACCACCTTTTTCTATTAACAATTTGTTATTATTCTCCCTATACACAGGGATAAGAAAAGTCCAACAGACATGGAATAATTTTGGCCATATGTATGGTTATATATAGACTGTTTGTCCCACTGTGTGTTTAATACCTTTTAAAGATTTTATTTTTTTCCAAATTTCCCCCACATTTGATTGAAATGATCTTTTATTAAAAGTGTCTGCCATTCTATAATATCTGTACTGTTAAAAATTTAAGTATGTTTTTCCCTACAAATTGTGATTTATCTTTGTAAATTTCAGGATATGTTGGAGTCGGAGGTGTGTAAAAATATTGACCTGATGCACATATGAAAATACAACCAGGAACTTATTCATATATCTATGGCGAAAAAACCAATATAGCTGTACTGTCTAGGATACAGAGAGACTGGTTGGCCATAGACAATGTTATAAACACGGTCAATATGACAAACAATGCCTTGGAGTCAATGTCATAGTTACGTGTTTGGCTGTACATGACATTTAAAAAAAAAGGATTTTTGGCTTCCTTTACCAAATGATATTGGGATGCTTCTCAGAATTGTGCTATAGAAGGTGTGTCAGTGCTACTAATGTACCACAATAATATCTCGCCAATTGAGGTTAACTTCCTTGTCAATGAACGTAGGAAAATTGTTACACAATATTATTACTGTGACTTGTACCTATTTACTTACTGTTGGTAGGTTATTGTGTTCATTTAGACTGTGATATCAAATTATTACATGTATTTTGTACAAATAAAGAAATAAATTTGTAAATAAATTCAGTTTGAACTATATTTTATTTGAAAATTACAATGCTTTTCATCACAGCAGAGAAGCAGGTAAGTGTCAAACGTTACATAAATCTGTCTTCTTAGAGTTAACAGTTTAAGCATAAACAACACTAAATGTGTAACTGAGATGTTGAAAAAAGTATCGACAGAGTTAGTAGGAATGTGATTGGGTATTTTATCAATGCAAATAAACAATAAACTATATTTGCAAATGTTGCGGAACTAGACTGGATTGATCACCAGAAACAAGGTAGCTTAATTGGTAGAGCATTTGTCTAGAGTTGCATGGTCCGGGGTTCAAATCCCAGTCTGACTTATTTGTAGCTCTTCTGTTAAACCCCCTGAATTTTAGGGGTAGGTTATTCTTGCCATATTAAAAATGTGTGCTAGAATGTGCTGATGTTTTACATTTGGGTCTTTTTTAATTGTAGATACATTACAATGAATCCGAAACTGGGGAAAATGGATCATGGGGTGGGGNTCTCCCTCCCTTACTACTTTTGGTAGCAATAGTATTATATATATCAGTTATTCACGTTTTTCTTAATTTCTAGATCCATTACCAAGTCTATGTTATCAGTCATATGACATGTTAAAGGGTTTGATACTATGGAACTCTTCCGGAACGGAGATGTAAATATAACAGCAAGGTATATCTAGTGTATATTCTTCACATGTGTCCAATGTTTGGGTTACCTAAAACAACATCCATAACCCTAAAACTGATTATTTATTAATGGACTCTCGTTTTGTCTGCAGGTGTTTATGAAGATATTTGTTTATTCATGATATCAGCTGATGTTAATACCATCATCATTTCCTCATGCATGTACATTTCCCTCTGGATCACCTACATAATTGAACACTTTCATTCAACCATGAAGCCTACATGTCAGTCACCTTGCGTCGATGCTGACACTTTTTTAATGAACCAGTTTCATGACATTACCTGTTAAGAACCATTAACAACATAGCTTTAAAACAGTTGACCTTCTTGAGACCGTCAATCACTAGTTTGTTGTGTATCGGACAGATGCAGGATGGTTTCTTATGATTAATTCGGGGCTACTTACTCAGTCTCATGCAGTAAAACATGGAATATACCTGTTCATGATATTTGCATGCTTTAAATATTGCTTTAAATTAGTCTTGCAAATACGTTGCTTGAAGGCAAATTCCGAAAATAAATACAATTTATCGAGTTATGATATATCACTGCTGTTTCTTGACATGGTCTACTCTTTATACATTTATCTCTGGTGGTTCTTGACATACTTCAATGTTGACCCCTTTATGATTGTCACTGATTGTTCTTGACATGGTATACAGTTGATCTTTTAATTTTATAATACATTACTGACGGTTCTTGACATGATTTTACAGTTGATCCCTTTATGATTTATCACTGATGGTTCTTGACATGGTCTACTCTTTTATACATTTATCTCTGGTGGTTCTCGACATAATTTAATGTTGACCCCTTTATGAGTATCACTGATAGTTCTTGACATGATGTACAGTTGATCCCTTTAATAAAAGATTTATCACTGATGGTTCCTGACAATATTAACAGTTGAATGCCGATTATCACCGATGGTTCGTGACATGATTTTACAGTTGAACTCTTTATAATTTATCACTGATGGTTATTGACAATATTAACAGTTGATCTCATTACATTACAAAATTTTGTGTAGATTCCTTCTCAATGAGACACGCAAGTTTGTTTACCTGTCCGTATTAATCACACGCCTCACTGAACATTTAATTAATCCACACGTATATTTTTATGGTTGATTATTTACTTTAGGTGTAAGTCTGATGCAGGACAAAATATGCCACGAGCTATATTTATCAATTATGGACTTTTGTTGAGGAGAATTTGTTATATGAACCTAAGAAAGTGATATTGACCGAGACGAAGTCGATGACAATATCACTTTATCAGGCTCATATAACCATATACTCACTGAAATAAATGTGTTTAATTGTTAAATTGGATTCCAAAAATGATTTTGTCATTAAACAAGATGTAACGTACAAAAAATTGTACAAAGGGAAGTACAGCAGTGTGACGTTACAATAGAAATGAAGTCATAAAGTGAATATTAAACTGCTATTTCTAAAAAAAAAGTAGCACCGAGTCAATATCACAAATTACCGACATTGATCACGTGATCATGATTCAACCAGCGAGGATTTAGGAAAAGGTAGCAGAGTACAGTAGCGTACGGTGGCCATGGGTGATATTTTTATACAATGAATAACCCCTGTAATATAACATGTATCAAAATTTAAAAAAAAAATCAGCACTAAAAATGGCATATACATGATGAAGTGGACTATGTGGGCTTCATAATTTTTCAAAAAAATAATAATTCTACAATCAAAATATTTAATGTATTTAAATGATAGATCGGAATATCAACTTTTGTTTATTCGTCTTTCATCGACATTTCTTTAATCAGACTTTGCAAGGGTCATCACTTGGCCAAAGGGATCAAACCGAAGGACAGCAATGGCATGACGTCACGAAATAGGGAAATTCCCATGCTGCATCATGGGAAATGCCGACGTGATGTCAACAGTTTAAGTCAGAAAAGAGGAGTTAATTTTCCTGCAAATGCACACTGTAGTTTTGCGAAATGGGGTACGCTAAATCTAGTTTGTTTCTGTCCAAAAACATTCAAATGTTAGCCTGTCAAAACGCCTTTCTAGTTTGAGGGAAACTCATATTTCATGCCCAGGAATGTATGATAGGGAAATCTCAAACTCGAAATTTTCAAATTCGGGCAAAACCCTCGGCAAGCGTCGGGCTTTACACAATTTGAAAACCATAGGAATTTCCGCTCGGTCAACTCCCGGGTAGAAAGAGTCCTATACTCTTTTGCAGCTTCAACAGTTCCTCGTATTATCTTTGGTGTTAACTTTGTTTACTGCCGATGTAGTACACTTTTTTCTTACTATTTTACATCTTACATCATATCTGTATATAAACGTAAGCCTGGTCACAGTTCTTGTTCTTTTCTTACAAGGACTGCCTTTGCCGGTCTTCAGTGATGATACTGAATGTACCTGGTGGTTTGTTGTTGGTAACACATCTGCTGACTTGTGTCTGAACTTATCAGCTTTGTTGATGTTCTTGGTTGTGTAAGGATCTATATGTTAAGTCAAAAATAATGTTTTAATAAGTAAAACAAAAAACAAGAACAGAAATGAATATGTTTTGTATGAACATACGTCTGTGTTTTATTAGAAATGAAAGTATAAACATACATTATTTTGTGCCTTTAACATTCTGGGACGTTTGTCGATTTCGGTAGCATCGAAGCCTCCACTCGAGCATATTTCCTAGCCCACGTGGCCTTTCTCTCTGCAATCTTCCTCTCCCGGTTGAGTCTAGCTCGCTCCAGTTTAGCATCAATGGCTGCTATAGACTTTGACCTATTGATTGGGGGGAGGCGTCGCGGGGGGCCGTGGCAGGCCTGTGGGGGGTACGTGGCGTACTGGGGGTTATTCCTTCGGTACTCGGGAACACCAGGTAGAACGGCGAACGACTCATCTGATTCGGACATGTTATCGATCTTCAACACGAAGGCCACTCCTCCCTCCCCTTTCTTGGGGACGACCCCTTCCTCCTTCAGTTGCATTAATGCCGTCAGTTCGGTTTTACGTGCTGTGTTGTGAATACCAGAGTTCAATGGCTTGTGTGTGACAGGACGGTCGACCGCTACGAACTAGATAGGAAGAGAAGTGAATTATGTTAAAACACCAAAATCAAATAATATCGTTACAACATTCAATTTTCACATAATGCAGGTTCGAGGACGATTGTAAGATTTCGAACACGGCCTGATCGTATGAGGCGACTAATGAGTGCATAATCGGTGGCTTTCTGTGCCGGAACATTGAAAACAAACAAACACTGATCTGCCGCATCTATTCTTATACCTGGAACCCTATATTTTTTCATTTGTTCCACAACTTTTAACTACCATAGCACTAGCTTCTTTTTTTGTTATTGGTAAAAGGCGCAGTCAATTTGGACGATTATGACAGTGTCATGTTTGTTGGACTGCACTGCGTGAAGATACGTACAGTGATTTTGTTTTAGTAGTCTTGACACGCGCAACGCTTACCTAATTTCTATAGTTTGACCATGAACCTTGTTCAATTTTTGTTTCTTCGTTGTCCCTTCAGCAAGAGACACAAGAAATCTCCGATTCGTTAAGGAGCCACATTAGTCGCCCCCTACGATAACACAAAGTGGGATGCAGCAGAGCTACTATTCCCCATAACTTGTAGGGACATACAATTTGTAATCTAAAGCACAATTACCTCGTTCTGTTTTCGTTCTTGCTGAACATTTTCCTCCACCTTTGAGTTATTGCACCCCATTATATCACTAAATACTTCTTTTTTCCTCTTTGTGCTGTAGTCGTGCGGCAAGTTGTACCTAGATACAATGGTATTATGACGTCTTGGCATGAATTGTTTTATGACGTCACAATACCCCACCGGCCATATTGTTACCTAAGATACCTAAGAAAATGATATTGGTCGAGACGA